AGACCCTGTCTGTGAGCCCACTCAGGGGCACACACACGGCAGAGAGAGGTTGTCTAGGTACCTAGAAGAGGAAGTAACTTGGTCATACAAGTCACCTTTCCCCCAAGATCTGAAAATTGGAATTCTAGTAAAAACTGACCTTTCTTAACATGATAATAAACTGGTTTTCATCAGGCCAGTGACAGAAGAGTCCTACTTAAAGCCAGCTTTGGATTCAGAGCACAGTAGGGCTGGGTGGGATATTTCCTCTTATCTTGTCACACTTTCGAAGTATGCAGGCTGGAGAGCGGCCCGGGGTGTCAGAGTTAGACATTTACTGGAAAGAACACCCTATGCAGGCAGCTGATTGGGACTCTTAAGACCAACTGCAAGCAAGAATGTTTTTGTGGGTAAAAGCAAATAATTTTTTGACCATGTGCTACCCATCATAACCCTTTTTAATTTCCTGAGGAGGAAATTTTAAAATAGTATGCACCCCCCCCCCCAAAAAAAAACCACACCAAGAAAGGTGTTTTGCACAATAAAGGCAAGGCATATGTACATCCTTAAAACGCCATCAACCTGACACCTGGGTTATCCTGAAAGGCCTGTTGTCTACAAAATCAATATTTTTATTACTTATTATTTATATTAGACATAACAAATATTACATATTATTTATAAAAAAACAAAATAGATGTATTTTCTGTAGAATCTATACTAAATAATGTTTGATGATTTGGTAATATGAGTGTTGATGTAATTGATGATTCATCCAATAGTGTAAATAAGACATCATAATTATACTCGGGCTTAATGCGCAGATTTTATTTTGAAAGCATATCAAAAGAGTAGTTCCTGGCCTGATCTTTTGGTTAGATGCATTTCAGAAAACCCACTAGACTCTAAGGCATACCATTAAACTATATGCCACCAAAGAAGAAAAGGCCTTTAAGGAAAGGGAAAACAAAAAAACAACCTTCCTCATTTTTAATTAACTGATTAATTTTTGTATGGGAGTGCACTGTGCATAAGTGGAGGTCAGAGGGTAATTTTCTGGAGTCAGTGCTCCCCTTTCTCTCAATCCAGGTACTGGGGATTGAACTCAGGCTGGCAGGTTTAGCAGAGGATTCTGTACTAGCTGAACCAACTCACTCATTCTAAAAAAAAATGTCCCCCATCCCCCTGACTAAAGATGTGCCGCCTGTTTCTAAGTTTCTTTTAGAACTCGTGAAACATGAGTGGGCAGCTTCCATTGACCTTATTACACGATTACAGAATAAAGGTCTGTAGAATATATTCTCGAGTGCTTCGACTTACTTGAGTGTGACTGTTTTAAGTGTTCTTAGAGCACTTAAAATGTAACAAAACATGTGACAAATAGCTTTTAATTGAAGTCATCTTTCCATGAGTAAAGTACACATACACCAGAATGTATTGTGTTTAATAACAAAGAATGGGAGAAAATTTTCGGAGTCTCATTACTTAACTTCATAAGCTTTATAATCAGTTCTTCAATACTGACCTCCCCATTCCCCCCAAATACCAGCTGTTTGGTGCTGCTGGTAAATCAGTTCTCAGTGTTTCCTCTGTTACCCTTGTAGCTATATAAACAGAAAGCCAAGATCATTTTGCAAACAACTCCTGTCTTAGAATAATCAACTAATGGTCTTTATTGGAAATGATATTAGACCTTTCACATTTTGAATTAAGGAAGGCAGATATTTATTTTATTCCATTAAATGCAATCCATTTGACATGAAAGTGTAATATCCGCTAATGCATTTCTCTTGCTCCTACACACCTGTACAACATAAAACCTCACATCCACAAAATGGGACGGGGTATGGATGGAAAGATTTACCTCCACTGCTTCCTTAATGTGCTCCTGTAGCACAGAAGGAGGGAAACCTGGATGGAAATTAGTTTCACAAATCTGGCATGGCACTGTTTTCCAAGATCCCTGCTTCACTTTGGCAGGAGAAACTGTGATTGTATGAGTTGGTCAGGCTTTGAGCATTCAGTTCAAATAAACAGAGGTGGGGAAAGCCTTCTTGTTAATTTTGTTGACTGGAAAGTGCTCTGGGAAACTGAATTCCATCAGCCCTGTTTTCAGTTCCGCTCGCTTCACTCAGGCTGATTTTGCTTTCCTCATGCACTCCATCACTGGGCCTGAGGAAGTTGTATTGAAACTGGACTAGGAGAGAAGGCTGTATTGAAACATGCTAATTCTTGAAGTTTGGGTTGTGAGCGGTAGCCCTCAACGAGGGCCGAGCTTATTTAATTCTTTCTCGAAAAATATTAAGCAGGATAACTGAAAGCTGTCATTTATTTTCACTATCAGAATAGATAAGAAACATTTCTAATAATTTCACCACTTTCTCATCCCTCATAACCAGCAGGCTCAAGTCGGCTCTTTATATCCATGCCAGCCCATGCTAACACATTTCTCCGTTTACTCCTGAGGACAAGCAGAAAGCGAGCGTTTGCACGGGCCACATAGATACGAAGGAAGAAGCATCTACAGAGCTTCGGCTCTGTTTCCGCAGACAGGCCTGGACACACCCACCTAGGTCTGTGGAACTGGTGCGAGCAGACAGCGCCTCCCAGTCGGGAGAGGCAGCCGCCAGGTGGCAGCGCCGAGCCTGCCCGAGCCTGCAGCGACTTGGGAAACGGGGTGTGTGTGTGTGTGTGTGTGTGTTGGGGGGGGGGGGGTGATGTCCAAATGTCTCTCTCCTGAACCAGTCACCGGTCACCCCCCAACATTTCACCTTCCCTGGGTAGCGGTTTAAAGGACCAGCGGGAAACAGGGTGTGCTGGTGAGTTTTGGACATCGCCCCCCCGCACCCCATAAATCAGAGTTTAGGGTAACCAACCGCTGCCTCTTGCTTTTGCTTGTCGGAACCCCCCCCAATGGCTGGTGAAGCCGAGACTCCCCGCAGCGGATCTGGTAACCCCGCTTGGGAGGTCACGGGTGCCCATGCCCTGGCCATTTCCCTCTGGAGAATGTGGTTTCTCCGCCAGCTACGCGCTCCGCTTAGGTGGGGGCGACGGCGACGCAGGGCGCACGACCAGAGGAGTCCCAAAGGCCACTCCTGCTCTCTAACAGAAATGGTGCCCGTGGCCCCGGCACGCCTCGCCGAGCTCAGCCTCAGGGGTCCTGCCCCAGCTCGCCTGGTGCTCCCCGCGCGCGGGTCCAGCCTCGCCTTTCCGGGACTCTCACAGGGAGGAGCTAAATTGTGATGGACTCGGGCCGCGCTTGGCGGAGGAAAGGCTTTCCTACTGTAAACGTGGCTCCGGCGCTGTTCCCCGCGCTGTCTGCCGGGGAGGGTCACGTTCAGGCGGGCGTGACGACGCCCCCACCCCACCCCACCCCACCCCACCCGGTCCAGCTCCCGGCCACCTTTGAAGGGGCAGCTCGAGCGACTACTCCGGGATAATCTTGCCCACCTCCTCCCCTCCCCCAGCGCGCCCCTCCCCCGACTCCAGCTTGGGACCTGACTGCTGGGGCCCAGTTCCGCCACTGACCGGAACCGACAGCCATTTGGTCTCTTGGCGCGCTCCGGTGCCCGGCTGCCCCTCACCCTCCGCCAGCCTCTCCTGGTCCAGGACCCAGGCTTCGGCTCTCCCCGTGGCCGCGGGAGGGGCGGTGTACACGCAGCGGCCCCCGGGGCTCTTTCTCAGGGCAGAACGAAGGAACTGGACAGTCAGCTCCCCATCCCCAGGCCCTAGGTCGATTGGGGAAGGTTGAGGTGTTGGTCAGTGTCCACAGAGGACCTCGAAGGCGCCCCAGAGTGCCAGGAGCCCTTGCCGAGAGGTGTGCCCTATACTTGGGACGCTGAGGAAAGTGAATAGCTGAAAGGATGAGTCCCAGGACTCCGATCCCCCCCCCCCCCCCCCGCAACCTCCGTCCCGTCCCGGCCCTTGCAGCTATAACAGAAGAATACCCACCCCAGCACCCCAAAACCATCTCCTGCGGATCCCTCGTAAAAGGGATCCCACGGCCACGTAAAAGCAATTACAGTTTGGAATTCTAGGACGCAAGTGAATGATTTCGATTATGGGAAGAACCGCCTAGAGTAGAGATCCCTAAAGGTTAGGGAACAAGGGGAGCCTCCCCTCAGACTGAGGAGAGGGGCAGGGATGGAGGGCATCCCTCTGGAGAGTGGTCCAGGGAAGCCACACTATGTCGGAGGGTGGGGGTGGGGACCGGTAAGAGCAAAGGCGCACGCTCCGCTGCAGAGGGGCGAGCAGGCGGTTGGGGGGTCGGCCGAGTGCTAGGAGTCCCAGAAGGGGAGGGGCGCGCGCCACGAGCAGCTGGTCGGGCGGCAGGCGCCTCCTGATTTTTCCTTCCCAGCCTTTTCACCTCCGGCTTCCCGCGCGTGCGGACCGAACCAAGGCGCACACTGCGCTGGGGGCGCTCGCGGGCATGGGATGGGCGGAGTGCGGCAAGGACCAAAGAGCCCTGTTGCCCCACACAGTGTAGGGCGTGATGCACACCTGGCACCCTAGACGAGACGCACCTTCTGTTCAGGATTGCTTCCTCGGCCCAGGGGTGTGGCCAGGGGAAAGATAAGAGTACCTCGTGGCAGGACGACTCCACCCCAACTGCTACTTCAGCTGCCAGTCAGAGTTGCGAGTGCCCCACTGTGTGTCCAGGTCAGCTTCAGAGCGTCTGGTTGCAGGTCTCAGGAACTGTGGCATCCTGTTCTGCCCCTCCGCGGGCTATAAGAGAACCGTGTTAAATGCTGTAAAAGAAATTCCGGCTGAACCGTAAGGCAGAGGCAAATTAGCCTTTGTAAAGCGTCAAGCTTGAGAGCCAAGAGGAGGGTAGTGTCTGGCTGAGTAACCTAGAATAAAAACTCATATATATATATATATGAAATATTAAAAAAATATATAATATATAATATATATATTATATTTTTATTTTTATTTTTTTTTTTCTTATTAGACCCTGAAGTGTGAAACCCATTGGGCTGTTTGTCCCACACAGCCCAAACAAGAAATCATTTCATGTCGGGCGTGGTGGTTCATACCCCTAAATATCTCAGCACTTGGTTGAGGCAAGAGGTTTGCTACAAGTTGAAGGCCAGCCTGAGCTTCCGGAGTCAGACTGCCACAAGTAAGTTACCTAAGGAAGTTTATCTGGCTTGTCAGGACAAATAACTGAGGTCTGGGCCTTACAACACTCAAATCTAACTCAATTTTACAAAAATCGTCTGAAATATCACCCTGTTGTTCAAAGGATGAGTCACTTGTGTTTTGACAAGGGTTATGATGTAACCCAGGCTGGCCCGAACTATCTGTTTTGCTAGCATAATTTAGAACTCCTGATTCTATTACCTCCACCTCCTAAGAGCTGAGATTGCAGGCTTGCGCCACTCTGCACCATGTAATGTGACTTTAAACGAAAGAGAAATGATGTGTAACATTACCCACTATATGTGTGTTTTAAAATCTACATAATGTGCCATGTATTAAAATGTATATAGTGTGTAATAAAATCATACATTTCAAATATACACAATGCTAGGCGACATGGCTCATGCTTGTCATCCTAGCACCTGGAAGGCTGGAGTATGGTGATCACTGAGTTGGAGGCCAGCCTGGGCTATATAGTGAGTTCAAAGCCAGCCTAGGTAACTTAGATCCTATCTCAATACAAAAAAAAACCCAACCAATCAATCAGAGAAACAAAAACAGGGTCATTGAGATAGCTCACTGGATAAAATGATTTGCCACAGCAAGGTTGAGGACTTGAGTTTAATCCCCAGGACCTATTTGCGGTGACAGGCACCAGTTATTTCAGCACTCCTAGGTGAGACAGGAGGCAGGCTCGGGAGACTCCCAACTGGTGATGAGCTGGAGGGCCGTCTAACCTGTAGTACCAAGCGCAGCAGGAAAAACAGTTGAGACCTCTTGTGACAGCTGACTCCCTAAAGTTGTCTTCTGACCTCCGTGCCCACACCTTTGGCACAACTTGGAGTTTTTAAAAAGCTATAAAAAATGCACATGGGATGTATTTCACCGGAAGACCCAAATTGTTCACAAGTTCAAAAGTTACCTGTGGTATGTTCCACCATCCAGATTTAAAGTTTGAACTGTGGGTGCCAGGCAGGTGCCAGTGAGGATTCTGCTGATACCTGGAGTTCCCATGTGGGCAGTACATGTGATAGAGTCTTGATAATCCGTCCTCTTGACAATGGTACCTATATGTATTACCATGTAGGACTTTCCCATCACTGACTCTGGATTTGGTCACTAATTTCCTTTGGTTATTGGGACATTAGTGAGCCACTATAAGGAATTTTGTTCCTGATTATAGAGGGTGATAAGTCCTAAGACATGCTGTCTTAGTCAGGCTTTCTATTGCTGCAGTGTAACACCATGACCGAAAAACAAGTTGGGGAGGAGAGTTTTTAATTCAGCTTACACTTCTACATTGCTGTTCATCACTAAAGGAAGTAAGGACAGGGCCTCGAACAGGACAGGATCCTGGAGGCAGGAGCCTATACAGAGGCCATGGAGGGGTGCTGCTTACTGGCTTGCTCCCATGGCTTGCTCACCCTGCTTTCTTACAGAACCCAGCCACAGTGGGCTGGGCCCTCCTCATCAATCACTAATTAAGAGAATGCCTTAGAGCTGGATCTCTTGGAGGCATTTTTTTCTATTTTTTTGTTTGTGTGTTTGCTTTCCAGACAGGGTTTTTCTGTGTATCCTTAGCTGTCCTGGACTTTGTAGACCAAGCTGGCCTTCAGCTCACAGAGATCCGCCTGCCTCTGCCTCCCTGGGTATTGAGATTGCAGGCATGTGCCAACGCATTTTCTCAGGTAAGGCTTCCTCCTTTCAGATAACTATAGTTTGTGTGTCAAGCTGACACAGGACCAGGCAGCATAGATGCACTTTGTAGATTTCAGACACAGGAGGACCACCAGCATGGTTCTAATGGAAAAGCAAGGTAAACACAGCACTCAGCCTAGAAGACAGCTGGACAAGGAGAGCTACCTCTTATAGATTCGGGAAAGGATCAGTTATTTAATTCTAGTCAGGGAGGGGAAATCCGTTTTACCCAAACTATAGATTTATATATTAAACTCAGCCCAAAATAAGCGTATAGATACTTCTGGATTTTCCAACAAATATTTGGGTTCCTAACAGTCCTGTCAAATTGACGAGTAAAATTAACCATCACAGTTACCAAGAGCCCCATCTTAGAGACATAGTTGTACTTACGATGGCTTTTGTGTCGTGGCTGAAGAAGTAGCTAGCCAGAGAAGGTGTGTTGATAGAAAAAATGGGAAGATCTTCTGCCCTTTTTACCTTAAACCCCTCAAACTCTTAAAACCCTTAAATAACAACAAAACCCAAATAATTAAATTTACCCCTTAGAATAGAACATATAATATGTAATTAAAGGGTGCATTATTCAAGAAAGTGTTCTGTTGAGCTATCAAGCATTGTGGCTGCTGGTGAAGTTAGAGTGTGTGGGGACGGGAGGGGGCCAGGCATGAAGCTGACATTGGCTGTCTAGCTAGCTAGCTTTTCCCAGGGATCTCCTGTCTCTTCCCCCCAAGTGCTGGCACTATGGTGCCCACCATGCCTGCCTGGCTTTTACATGGTTGGTGGGCACAGCAAGTGCTTTATCCACCTTGTTGAAACTTTTTAAATTTATTTATAGCTTTCCCCACATGTTCCAGTAGTTTTGAACATGCACAGAAAGAATTAGGGCCGAGGGGAGGAAGAATCGCTTTGAGAAAGGATGGTTGGAGCACATTGCTCTCCGCTGAACAGTGGTATGATAGACGGGAAGGTTAATATCTGCTGCCCTCTTTAAGCATATTGCTTTAATTTCTTGGGACTGGAAAGTCCCTGATGTTAATACACAAGATAGTATCACTAAGATTACTTAGAGCTTAAGGTATGTTATAGCTTAACTCAGAATAGTTACAACTTTCTTTTTCATGCATGTGCCTCAAGGGGAAATAAGGTAAGAAAAAAAAAAAAAAAAGCTTCCTCAGGAAACTCCACACCATGTAATTGAAGGATATTCTTCATTGACCTTCCTTCAGAGGTAAAGGTTTATTACAATCATGCTTGCCTGCTGTATCTAATAATCCAAATGGAAGTTTCTAGCTTCTAGAATTTGGAGCTTTAAAATTAAAACAGTGTGGTTGCGAGCGCTGGCACAGGCCTTTAATCCAAGCATTCAGGAGCCAGAGGCAGGTGGATCTCTGTGAGTTTGAGGCTAGCCTGTCTACATAACAAGTTCCAGGACAGTCAGGACAACATAGAGATAGCTTGTCTCAAATAATAATAATAATAAATACCCAACAATAATAAAATAATAAATAAATAATAAAATAATAATAAAAATAAAAATAATATAATAATAATAAACAACAACAAACCCAAAACAGTAATCAGAGCCTTGCGTTCATTAAGTGCCCTTCCGGCATTTGCCTGGACAGGGTAGACAGTGCTGAGCAATAGGCCTTCCTGAGAGAGCAGTGACTCAATACATTAGAGTTTTTTCTATTTCCTTTTCTTTTTAAAAAAGTTTTTGGTGTGTGTGCATGCACATTTGAAGTGTTTGTGGATCTATGTGCACATGTGTGTAGAGGTCAGAAGACAACTTCAGTCTTGTTCCTTGGGTTCTAGTCAACCTTGTTTTATGAGACAGGGTTTCTCACTGTCCTGGAGTTTGCCAAGCAGGCTAGAGTGGCTGGCCACTGAGGCGCAGGGATCTGCCTCCTCAGTTGGGATGACAAGGTCGCATCCCAACAACTGGCTTTCTCATGTGGGTTCTGGGGATCATCCAAGGTCCCCATGCTTGTGTGGCAAGGGCTTTACCAGCTAAGCTATTTCCCAGCCCCATTAAAGTTCTTTCTTACTGACTAAGTCAATCCCTCTGAATGACTCCCTCACTTGGTAATGTCTCAGGCTGAATGGCTGTGTCGCTTAGCATGTGGCATTCTTTGTTGCTTTGACTGAGAGGCAGACTAGGGATAAGCCTGGGGCTGTCTGCATGTTGATAAACACTGACTGGACCACTGAACTCCAGCTCTTCCTCCTCTTCCTCTTCTTCTTCCTCCTCCTCCTCTTTCTCTACCTCCTCCTTATCTCCCCTCCCCCTTATTTTCAGTACTGGGGATCAAACCTAGGGCCTCATACATGTGAAACAGGCACTCTGTCATTGAGCTCCACTCACTCTTTAATGCTTCCCCCCTAGAATTGACGTGTCTCACTAGTGTTCATAGCCCATTGGACATAATCAGGTTCATGGCCTGGCCTAAAAGGCTTAGAGATATGGCTTGCCTTTCTATTTCAGGAGAGAAGGAAAGTAGGTGTAAGTGAAGAGTAGACATTTATTTCATGTTACCTAAGTAACCAATAAACTACACCTGTAAATTTAAGTAAATACCATTGTTCTTTTAGCTGCAACATTAAAATCAATTTTATGTCCTGTCAGTGTGTTTTTTTTTGCTTGTTTGTTTTGTTTTTAACTTGAGCTACCTTAGGGTATTGGTTGTTTATAAATCACTAGAGATGTAAACCCTTCAGGTTATGAGTGTGATGTTCTCATAGCAGAAAGCTATAAGTAGAAAGGAATGACATCACTGAAATCATTTGAAAGGTTACTAGAGATCTGCAGAAGAAGCAGGTCTCAACAGAAGCTGCTTCTGCTAAGACTCACTGACTTCTCATTAAGGCCTTCGGGGGAGTAAAAATGGTGAATCCTGGACCCTACAGCATCCTATTGAAGGCCAAACTGAAGGCCCAGAGAGATCTGCCACTGTTTTCAACCTTCCTGGTGCTGCGGCCCTTTAATACAGTTCCTTATGTTGTGGTGACCTTCAACCATAAAACTAATTTTATACTTTATAACTGTAATTTTGCTACTGTTACGAATCATAATGTAAATACCTTGTTTTCAGATGGCCCTAGGTGACCATCTGAGAAAGGGTCATTCGACCCAAAGGGGTCGGGACCCACAGGTTGAGAACTGCTGCTTTAGAGTCACCTTGGATTCCAGGGACAGTGAGTCATAAACATCTCTGTGACAAGGGACATGTCCTGAAAGATTCCCCCAAGGTACTGTTAGGCACAGGAGAGGTCACCCCA